TATTATTTTATATGTACGAGTATTTTTGTCTGTAAGTGACCCATGTCATGCAGAGCCCAAGAAGGTCAGAAGAGGGTGTTGGATCTTCTGGAACTGGAGTTATGGATGGTTATCAGCTGTCATGTGGATGCTGAGAACCAAACCCAGGTCCTCTGTAAGAACAGCCAGTGCTCTTAACTGCTGAGCCATCTCTCCAGCTCCTTAAATGCCATTCCTTTTAAAAGAAGATTTATTAATTTTAATTTATGTGTATGCATGCTGGCAACACACTCATACACATAAAATAAAAATTAAAAAATAAAAAATCAGCCAGGCATGATGGTGTACATCTTTAATCCTAGCTCTCGAGAGGCAGAGGCAGGTGGATCTCTCTGAGGTCAAAGCCAGCCTGGTCTACATAGTGAGTTCCAGGCCAGCTGGGACTACAGGGAGACCCTATCTCACATTTTGTTGTTTTGTAAGTGTATCAGGTGTGTGCAATGCCCTCAGAGACCAGAAGAAGGAGTAGGATCCCTTGGAACTGGAGGTACAGATGGATTTTAGCTGCCATGTGGGTGCTGAGAACCAAACCCTGGTCCTCTGCTCTAAGCTGCTGAGCCATCTGGTCAGCTCCAAGATCTTGATATACAGCCCAGGCTGGCCTTAATTCATGGTCCTATGAGTGCTGGGATTACAGATGGAGTGTGTCACCATGCGTGGCTTGTATTATTCATTTCCAAATGATTGATTTTACCTCAATAAAACTGTTGGCATCAAGTCGTATCTTCACTATGGCAAAACAAATAAACCATGACTCATAAATTAAAAATAAAGATGGTAAAGAATCTGAATAATTCAGTAATAATAAGATCTTATAACTGATTCAAAAAAGAATCTAGAGCTAGGTGTGGTAAAGGCACACCTATAATCCCAGCAGCTGGGAGGGAGAGGCAGGAGGATCAGGAAGTCAAGGTTCATCCACAGCTACATAGTGCATTGGGGGTCAGCCTGGGTCACAGCCTGGTTTCAGCCATCCCTAGACCAAGGCAACCAGAGTTACAGCCTTATATTCTACCTAGTACCTTCAGTAAGCTATTGAACTCAGAGATGCCTCTCCCTTTAAAAGTCTATAAAAATTAGGCTAGAGAGATGACTCAGGTGAAGAGGGCTTCCTGCTCTTTGGTTCGTGCTTGGGACCTTATACAGTGGGGTAGACAGATATTCTTGCAACCTGTTCTGACAGGAATTCCATGTTTATGGGCAATATTTTGTGAGTGCATCAGTTACCTATGGAGTTCAGGATTGTATGCTCCAGGACAGAGTCCTGGAGAATGAGAAACAGCATGTTCTTACATTGTACCTGGAGCACACATTTTTCTCTAGCCTAGTTGAGAATCAAAATCAGCCACAGCAGAGGCACCCCACAGGTCAGCAAGCACTGTAAGTCAGCCCATGGTTTTGAACGTTTATAAGCGATGGTAAAACCACACCAAACCCAGATAATCCATCTTTTATTTCCCACCCAAGGCCCCTGGAGAATGTGTGATGAAAGCCTGCAGCTCTGTGGGGGCCGTGGCCACACAACTCCCCCTTGCATCCAAGGCCCCTGAACAACAGCCCACACCTTCAGGGCTCAGTACCACATCACCTGGGAACTTGTTGGAACCTGGCATGGTGGTGCACACCTGTAATTCCAGCACTCAGGAGGCTTAGAGAGGAGGACTGAAAGCTCAAGTCCTGCCTGGGCTATAGAGTGAGTTTCAGACCAGTTTAGACAATTTAGTGAGACTTTGTCTCAAAATAAAAACTTAAGAGGGCAGGGAGTATAGCCCAGAAATAGAGTGCTTGCCCAGCATGTGTGAGGCTCTAGGCTCAATCCCCAGTACTGCAAAAGAGTCTGGTAATCCCACTTCTCAGAAAGCTAAAATGAGTTCGAAGCCAGCCAGGATTATGTAGTGAGACCACTGGGGTTTCCGGGGTGGGACAGACAATTGGGGTTGGAGCTCAACCGTGGAGCTCCTGCCTGGGTGTGATCAATACTGGGTAGGGGCGGGTAAAGACACATCTCTGGCTGCAGCAGACTTGTGAAGTCTGCCACATTTTAGCAAATCTCATTGCTGAAGACCGACATGAACGTTTGAGAAGCACCGATCTCTGCTTTCCCTGGATGCTGCCAGTCAACAATTCCTCCCAAGCTGGGTACGTTGGTGCAAACTGACAATTCCAACCCTAGGGAGGCCGAGGCAGGAAAACTGCCGGGCGCTATACAAGGTGACGGCCCCTGACTCAAGAAAGCCAAAACAGCAATTCGTCCCAGATCTGTGCCCAGCGAGGTCCGCCTCACCCTGGGTCCTCCGCGCTGCTCCTCCGGCTGCTCCTCCGAGGACTCTCACCCGTCTGCCTTTCCTTCAGAGATGTGGCTTTGGGGGTGATGGCGGGAAGAGGCAGGTTTGTTCCCCTCAGGCCAGTGAGTAGCTGTTGCTGGAATCTTATCAGCATAAAAACAGACCATGGG